CATCTTTTCAACAGCCAAGTTTTTTCTTGGGAGCCAGCATGGTGTAGTGGTTAAGACTGGTAATCTGGTGAACCGGGTTCGCTTCTCCACTACTCCACATGCAGCTGCTGGGTGACCTTGGGCTAGTCATAAGCCACTTCTCTGAAGTCTCTCAGCCTCACTCACCTCCCAGAGTGTTTGTTGTGGGGGAGGAAGGGAAAGGAGCTGCTTTGAGACTCCTTAAGGGGAGTGAAAGGTGGGATATTAAGTCCAAACTCCTCCTCCTCCTCCTCTTCTTCGCATACCAGAAAAGAGATGCTGAGATGACTAGGCCACATAAATTTGTGGTATGAATTCTGACACCTTCAGGCAGATAAAATCTTGAACTGTACACACCCTGGACCATATTCAGCCTGCAGAATAAAATGGGTTAGTGAGAGCTGGGATAAACAGTGGTTTAGTTCATAGGTACAGCACATTTTAGTCTAAATTAAACATTAATTAAATGACCTCATAGTCTTGATTATATTCAATGTAATATACCTAGCGGGGGGGGGGAGTGCAACAAGTCCTAATTAAATGTGATCACTTGCTCTTATTATTCCACATTAATTAAGTCAAGTAGTGCTTCAGGTCTGGAGAACATAAGCCATGAATAAAGTATAGGACAGAAAGTTTAAAAGCAAAAATACACTGATGAGGCAAATCTGCAGGGCACTTAGTTCCCTTCTTTGTCAGAATAAATTCCTTTGGTTCTTCACCATGTTGAGTCATGACACTGATCCGTGGTTTGCATTTCAGGCATGAACAAAAGGGCACTACTAGGGATGACTTGGTTTAAGTATTATCAAGACGAGTCACAAAATCCTTCTCAGCTGCAAGGCAGGAGCAGCCCCTGTTGGGATACTGCCAGGGAGATAAAGTCCATCAAGGCCCCCAAGCCGTCTGCCGGACGATCCATTGACCTCCCGTAGTCACGCAGTATCAACAATTAGCGACATGAGTTTCTAGAAGATTTCTTGCCACATTCCAGAGCTCATGCACACTCTATCAGCAGATAGTCACAGCAAAAGTTGCACCCAGGAGAGCATTATTTACAAGTTTATTCAGCGTTGATCAGAACACAGAAAAACATGACCGACTGCTTTAGTGTCTGCGCCACCAGAGAGAAAACGAAAGCAACAGAAAACATAAACATCCTGTGAACAGGAAATACGCAGACTCTGACTCACAAAGCCTGCTCCCTTTTAAGGTGGAACGGAAATATCCTAACATCCTCCCCTTTCCGTGTAACCTGTAGTACCTGTGGTTCAACCCAATTGCAACCTTTGTACGTAAACCTTAAGTTGTTCTCTGTTAACAACCTTAGACAACAGATCAGCAGGAATTTCATTTCCTGGCATGTAGGACACCTGAATGAGTCCTTTCTGAATACACTCTCTTGCACGATGTAGCTTAATCTGCAAGTACTTGGTCCTTTGCTTGCAACTCTCTGAGTTCAGCAAAGCCAAACACGATCTATTGTCTTGATACACTTGTACAGGACATTTCACAGAAACTCTGATGTCCTTAAACAGTTGCATCAACCATTCACAATCCATGAGTGAAAATGACAGAGCATTGAGTTCTGCTTCACAGGAACTTAGGCTCACTGTCGTCTGCTTCTTGCACAACCAGTCAAACAGGCAGTGGTTGTACATGTAGCATACTCCAGAAGTGCTTGTACCATCCGTGGTATCACTTCCAAAACTTGCATCTGCAAAGATTTCAAGACCTCCAGTCTTCTGACTGGTGAACCTCAGCCTGTAGTGCAAAGTCCCTTTCAAATAGCGGGCTATGCGCTTCAGAGCTTTCCAATCCTGAACAGTAGGATTGTTAGCATGTCTGCTAAGCAGGTTAGTGCTTACAGCTATGTCAGGTCTTGAGCATCTAGCAATGAAATTCAACTTGCCTAGAATGCATCTGTACAGCGTTGTGTCAGAAAACGCTTCAGCAGTACTGTCTACCTGGTAACCTGTCACCATCGGTGTGTCTGCTGGGTTTGCATCAACCAAATTCAACCTGGTTAATACATCAGCAATTTTCTGTGTTTGGTGTACCAGAAAATTACCTGCTTGGTCCCTCTCCACCTGCAGAGAAAGATAGTTGGATACCTCACCAAGATCCTTCATGTCAAAGTGCTCCTTCAGCTGAGCTAGGGTGCTTTGGTAGAAAGCCTGATTCTTCCAAAACATCAGAAGATCATCAACAAAACATAAACAATACAGTTTGTTTTGCCCTCCTCCTTGACAAACACACATGGATCAGCTTTGCCCTGGTGAAAACCTAGAGAAAGCAACGTCTCAGTGAGTTTCGTGTTCCAACACCTGGCACTCTGCTTGAGACCATATAAGGATTTCCGCAGTTTACAGACCATTCCCTTCTGTATCTGCATCCCATCTGGTGGAAGCATAAACAGCTCCTCCTCCAAAAGCCCGTACAAAAAAGCTGTATTAATGTCATGATGGGAAACATGCAGTTTCTCCTCTGCAGCTATCTTGAGCATCAGCCGAATGCTCTCATATTTGACGGTGGGTGAGTAGGTCTCGTGGTAATCCTGTTCTGGTACCTGTGAAAAACCTCTGGCAACCAATCTGGCTTTATGTCTGACAACCTTGCCATTCTGGTCTGTCTTGGCCTTGAAGACCCATTTGCTGCCAACCAGTCTCATCCCTGGGACTACCGGTACCAGTTCCCAAGTTTGGTTCCTGTTCAAGGAATCAACTTCAGCCTTCATGGCATTAAGCCAAGGCTCAGCATCTTTAGAGGTTAACTCCTGAACCTCTTTGAAGCTTGAAGGTTCCCATACCTTCTCTGAGCTACTAAGAACAGCAGTTGCTGTCTTAGCAAACTCATCAGCAAATCTCTTTGGAGGTCTGCCCTTGGTGGCTCTTTCAGATCTGCGTACTAGACGCAAGTCTTCTGGACTCATCTCCTCTTTCTTAGGAGAAAAGTGACCAATGGTGAACAGTGGTTCTTCCAGTTCATTGTCAGACGCATCAGATGGTCTGACTGAGGCCTTTGCGCTCTTGTAGTCTGCTGTGTCATCACTATCACCGACGTCAGCAGCAGCGCCGCCCACTGAGCTGGAATCCGAACTCTGATCATCATCGTCATCATCATCCTCAGCAGCTTCCTCAGCTTTAGCTGCTGCTTTGACATCACCTTCATCCTCCTCTGGGTAACTCTGGAAAATTCCCACATTTTCCCCCCACTTAGGATTGTACTCAACACTCCTTGTGAACTTAATGGACTTAGAGTTGGTCATCCACACCCTGTATGCACCTTTTTCGTACCCCATGAACAAACCATGTGCCCCACGCTTCCCAAGCTTGTTGCTTTGTGGGGTGTGTACCCACATGTCAGAACCAAAGATTCTCATGTGCTTGATGTTGGGTTTCTTACCAAACATCTTCTCATAGGGGGTACAACCAATAGGTGATGACAATCTGCGATTAAAAGTGTAAACAAACGAGTTCAAAGACTCCCCCCAAAACTTCTCAGGGAGATTGGCATCATGCAACAATGTTTTCAGTCCTTGCAGCAACATTTGCTTTGCTTGCTCACAAATCTCCCATGGAGATCCAGGACTTGAGAGGCTATGCTGGATTCCCTTCTCAGTCAGGAAAGCTTCAAACTGCTGAGAAGGGAATCCAGCATGACTTGTCAACGCCTAGATCAGTAAACAGACAGCCAATACGTTTACCGTGAACATTCTCCAACCAAGCACAGAATGCCTTGAACTTAGGAAACGCTTGCGATTTCTGCTCGAGCATAAACACATGAATGTACCTGGAAAAAAGAATCAATTAGAACCATGAAGTACCTTGCTCCACCCAAAGAGGGCGCAAGTGGACCAACCAGGTCTGCGTGCACTAGCTGGTAGGGTTTGGAAGCCTGCCTGCTAGACTCCTTGCCTTTTGGAGCAACCTTCACCTTGTTCTCTGCACAAGATACACATTTCATGTGAAACTTACAGGGTTTGATGTTCAAACCCTCAACCATCTCTGGCATCTTGGCCAGCGCCTGCCAAGACATGTGACAAAATCTTCTGTGTGCATCATGAATGCATCCTGCATGAAGAACTTTGTTAGTTTGTGCAACACAACAAGAATCAACATTAGACACAACAGCACCAATGTCATCATAAGTTATACAGAACAAGCCATCCATAAACTTTGCATGCAAAATGTCCTCTTTGCCTTTTCTGATGACACAGACGCTCCTCTTGAAGGAAATCTCAAAACCACGCCCAGTAAGCTGTGGGACACTGAGCAAATTGTCTGCAGCACCTGGAACATATAGTACATCTTTGATGGTAGTGTGCAGACTTGCCAGTTTCACAGTCCCTTCTCCTGCAATTCGCAACGTCTTCCCATCAGCCAGGTGGATCTGAAGGAGATAAAGGTCTTTCGACACATGGCGGGTACAGCCTGAATCAACAACAACCCTGGCCTTGGCTTTTGGAGCAGTCTTTCTGGCAAGCAAAGCCTTGTTTTCCACCGGCGTGGGCTTTTGCAGCTTGCCCCCCTGCTCCTGGCCATCCGACTTGCCTTTAGCCTTTGGTGAAGCTGTGCCAGTAAACAAAACCTTGTTTTCCACTGGCGTGGGCTTTTGCAGCTTGCCCCCCTGCTCCTGGCCATCTGCAGGCGTCTGCCTCTGTTTACCTTTGCCCTTCCGGCCTCTGCAAAGGCGATGACCTTGGTTCCCATGAGAAACAGAGCTCTCACACCACACAGCCCAGGTCCCATAATTGTGCCGATTTAACTTTGGGCACTCAGCAGCCTCAGAAGCGTGGAAAAACTCCATTCCAGGTTTCTACTTGAGCCGTGAATCTTATTCACTTCAGAGACGTCTTATCTCGGCAGCTCATAAATCTTGAGGCCTTTGGCGCGGCTCCCAGACCCATTAATCTGCCAGCCGGACATCAAAGGTGCTTGCCGCGGCAACGAAAAGCCTCACTTTCGCTTTTCCTCCACATACCTTTCAGCAGTCTGTCGCAGTCTTACTCTCCTGTAAGTGCTGTGAATCTGGGCCCGAAACCTGTTGTTGGGATACTGCCAGGGAGATAAAGTCCATCAAGGCCCCTAAGCCGTCTGCCGGACGATCCATTGACCTCCCGTAGTCACGCAGTATCAACAATTAGCGACATGAGTTTCTAGAAGATTTCTTGCCACATTCCAGAGCTCATGCACACTCTATCAGCAGATAGTCACAGCAAAAGTTGCACCCAGGAGAGCATTATTTACAAGTTTATTCAGCGTTGATCAGAACACAGAAAAACATGACCGACTGCTTTAGTGTCTGCGCCACCAGAGAGAAAACGAAAGCAACAGAAAACATAAACATCCTGTGAACAGGAAATACGCAGACTCTGACTCACAAAGCCTGCTCCCTTTTAAGGTGGAACATAAATATCCTAACAGCCCCCACCTCCACACTGTGTCATAAGAGAGCAGAAGGTAGGGCAAACTGCTCCAGGTGGTTTAGGTGAGCAAATCAAGTGATGCATCACAGCACAGGCAAACAGCTCAAAGGATGGTTGGGGCTTAACCAGATAATATGAGAGAAATGAAGCTGCTTCTCACTCATTGTCTCTCTCATAATCTCATTGCATTTAGCTAGATGTTACATTCTTTGCAAAGCACAGTGTGATGTCATTGTGCAGTTACTCATCCTTTCCCTGCTTTTAGCTGTTGGTATGAATCCATGCATAGCGTGACAATGTTAGGTCATGCATTATGCTTCCCTAGACCCCCTAGAAGAAGAGGGAGCCTCACTTCTTCCCTTTCTAGGGAGATGATTCATTACCCTGGGGGCCTGTGACAACATAGAAAATACAATCCATACCATAATTATAACATCTATACATAAATCTGTAAACCCAAAACATTTGAGTTCACGCCCAAAGGTGCTATCCTCCAGTTTCTCCCGAAACAGATGGGTGCCAACAACAACAAATCCAAAACAGATACACAAACAATACATCTGTGTCTCAAAAGTCCAGGTGAACAGGTATGTCATCATTATGCATCCACCAGCATTTATCCCTAGATAGCAATGGCAGAATTTGGCTCATCTTGTCATAAAGTAGCAAAGGGAGCAACACTCAATTCATCACCCAACCTGTGTCCCGTGAAGATGACTGGGGAAAGAGTTTTCTTATGTCCCAGTGATGGAGACTAGCAATCTAAATTTGTGAAATTTATTATTTATATTGCACCCTTCAGAGATGCACAAATGGCTGGAACATTAAGCCAAGAGTTTCAGTTTGAAGGGCACCCACAGCATCAATAAGATTGCATGGCTCAAAGCTGCTTAGAGCAAGAGCTACCAGTGCTATGCTTGTGGGTGCCAAGGAGTCCTTGATGTCTCCCCCTGGGGCCCACAAAACTCCTGAGCTCTCCCACCACCACCACTGCTCTTTTGGTCATGAGGTTGTGAGAGTAGTTACCTTTTGTGCCCTTAAAAAGTAGGTGGAATTAAATAAGGAAGTTAGAAGAGTGATGATCTTTCCGACTTCCTCTTTCAGTTCCATGTATTTTTCAGGATTCAGACTAATTCCCATGGATCTGACATAGATCTGCTGGCAAAAAACGAAATTTGTGTGCAAGCACTTCTCTCCTTCTGCCACGGGGGGGGGGGGGGTAAAAGTTGAGTGGTACCCACAACACTTGCGCATAAATCCAAATGTGCCCAAAGGCTTATAACTTGGCAATTCCTAGTTAGAGAGTCCGATGGGACATAATTGGACTAACTACTTTACAGTTTTAAGCCAGTACTTTGATTTGTGGAGTGAACTGCTTCATTTCAGTTAGCTTTCTTGATATAATTGAGCCAAATATTACTTACAAAAAAAGATGTATAGGCGATGCTGCCAAAATTGGCCTTGAACAGGTGTTCTGATTTGTTTAAAACATTTTAAAGGTATGTTAAACTTTCACAACTATAAGTAGATTGACAACTGATGGGGAACAGCAATTCATGAGTAACTGGCATTTAAACAAGAGCCAAAAAATATTTGATTAGGCAATTTAGGCTTTGTTTAAGATGAGCTACAACGAGATAACCTTCAATTACTTAATATATCATCATTAATTTTAATCACTCACATTTGTTGGGTATTTCCCCCTCACCCCCTGTGCTGCAAAAGTCTCAGCTAAAGTCTAATGCAACATTTGCATCTATGTCTTCATGCACAAGGCTGTCTTAATGAAAATATGTGTCACTTTCTCTTGACACCTCATCAATGAAATGACCCCAGTTGACTTTACTATCAGTATAGCTGCAGCTGAAACAGGCAGCATTCTGATAATCATATGCTGAATTTCACATTTCAATCTTACACTGACAAGGACGACGTTATCAGATAGCTGCTTCGCATGCTGAAACATTGGAATGGGCTTTGTTTTAACCTTTCGGAAGAGCTAATGATTTTCATTCCCTCCTATCTTACATTTTAAAATTTGCTGCTAATTATAGTACTATTTATAAAACATTCTTATTATAATTGTTGATCAACTATGGTGGATACTGAATTGAGACTCCCAAGTAAGCAATTCTAGGGCTGAAAGAAAATGGTCATATAATCCAGACTTTACCATCTAGAAAGATGGGGATTTGAGCCAAAGCAGAAGTGAAATTAATCGAGTTAATGCAATTCATGTGCATGTTTTTAAAATGTTACTAAAAGCTGGGGGAGGGCAGGCTGAGCAGGATCGTAGAATCATAGAGTTGTAGAGTTGGAATGGACCATGAGGGTCATCTAATTCAACCCCCTGCAATGCAGGAATCTTTTTGCCCAACGCGGGGCTGGAACCCACAACCCAGGGATTAAGAATCCCATGCTCTACCAACTGAGCTATGATACAACAACTTAGTTGAATTCCACCCTAAATCTACAATTCTTTATTGTCCTACTCAGAAGTTTTACTCACTTGGTTTGCTAATGTGAGGGGAGGTCATGGCTGCCCTGAGTGACTGGACCCTTGCCACCTTGCATGTTGACTAGCCCCACCCCCAACCCCACTTATTTGATAAGCTGTGCTGTTCCAATATATTCAGATAGTACTACACATTGTGTAAAAGCAGGTGGTGCTGTGGTCTAAACCACTGAGCCTCTTGGGCTTGCCTATCGGAAGGTTGACAGTTCTAATCCCCACAACGGACTGAGCTCCCGTTGCTCTGTCCCAGCTCCTGCCAACCTAGCAGTTTAAAAGCATGATAGTGTAAGTAGATAAATAGGTACCACTGTAGCGGGAAGGTAAACAGCATTTCTGTGTGCTCTGGTTTCCATCACGGTGTTCCATTATGCCAGAAGCAGTTTAGTCCTGCTGGCCACATGACCTGGAAAGCTGTCTGTGGACAAACGCCAGCTCCCTTGGCCTGAAAGCGAGATGAGTGCCACAACCCCATAGTTGCCTTTGACTGGACTTAACCATCCAGGGGTCCTTACACATTGTGTGCTGATGTGAATACACTTTTTAAATAAAAAGCTTCCATTTTAATGTAAAGTAGTTGCTCAAAGTTTAATTATATTGTTGTGAATTTGGGGGATTACATTATTGAAGGGGACAAGCAAGTTTCTGGGTGAGTTTATAGCCCCTAAGTATGGGACATTAGTATAAGGAAATAAGTTGCTCTGTGCCAGAGGGAAAACAGGGACTTCCCTCCCTCACCTGGCTAGTAGTGAGAAGAACAATAGCCAGAGCATGTGAGAGAACTGGGCAGGCTGCTGGCAAAAGCCAGAGAGTGAGAGCCATGCTTGATTTCTGCTTGAATCCAAAGTTATGGGAGAAGCAAGACCTTCTGGGGTGTTAATGCTGTGAGCCCCTCCATCATAGATTCAGGTTGTATGTGTCAATAAACCATATATCATAAAGACACTGCAGTCTCTGCTATCCCTCATTCCAACGAAACTGAACCCTGATAAGTACCTGGAATCCCTGGAACGTTGCACTGCTCAGAGACTGGGGTGGCGTGCAACAATATATCTGATATGTTTGTTAGAAAATACATGTTGGAGCAAATTCCCAACCCTAGCAATGCAACTGAAGACATGTTTCATTTTCTGTGACCGTAAATGTAGTCAGTACAATAATTAGCAGCAATAGATGCTTAACAAGAGTTAAACTCCTAAAGTTGCCTTTCTTCTAATGGAAATACATGGCATTGCATTTATTCCCCTTCTGAGATGGGAGGAGATGGTTATGTAAGCAAGTGTTTCTGAAATGCCAGCAGATACTAACTGGCTTGACTGAGAAATGTTTAATGCGGAGTGGGAATGAAACAATTGGATTATTATGTTGTGTGAGCCTAATGGATTTTTTCCCCCAACTGGGAGCTTTTAATCCCAGGAACAGAGGAATAAGGTGTTACCTGTGAAATTGATGTTATGTTTGTTATAGCATATTCCCAGGAAGGAGAAGAGGGAAACAAAAAGACATGTTTACATTTCTGCAATAGATTATATAACGGATTGTACTTGCATTGTCTTACATTGTCCTACTGGAGCTGTTTTTATTGGAGGATTATCCTTAATCATGTCGTTGAGAAACACATACTTTATACATTGCAAAGTGTGTTGGGAAACACCATGCAACAAGTGTATAATAAATATACACCCAAGATATGTGCTTCTCATCAACATGATGAAAGACAGCTATCTAATTAGTAGGGATACTGCAATTCACTGTTTAAAATGATTTCCCTTTTTCTATAAACTATAACAAATGCAATATAAATTCCACAAGTGATAAATGTATTATGGGTGGGCATCCATTGGAGACAGGGAAAGGAGAACTCTGCTACAGAAACATGCTGGTAGCAGAGCACATGAACTGCACGCTTGACCTAACAAAACAGAAGGTGGATTCAGGTTTTCAAAAAAGAAAGTGTGGTTAATACTTCAAAAGCAGGCACCAGGCTTCCCGGGGGTTCTTTTCATTTATCACTGAATATTCAGTAGAAGTCTGTCAAGCCGCTTGAGCTCTGGTGTACTCAGTGGATACTGTGCATGCACACGGAAGCACGTATTTTATAAAATATATCTAAAATACAAATTTTAGGCACTATGCACAGACTTACTCTTCATTTGAGATATTGGTGTTGTAAGCAGCTTTGGGGGAGAATGTTTTTTTTGTTGTTGTTTATGTTAGAGCAAAAAGGGAAAGGAAAAGGAAATTTAGCCTGATTTAAATAAGAGATACTCTAAGCATGTGTATTTCTGCATTTTAAATACTCATTTAAATCATAGTGGCATCATGACAACATCAATAAAATGGGGTTTGATTCTGCTACCTGATGCTACTTGGAAATAAGTGCCACTTTGTTGTAGAGAAAGATAACATATAATTAAAAGTAAAAATAAGAGAATGGGCCCGTAGCCATGGGTGTGACTGTGTAATGCACTTCTCTATGCTCAGAATGGTTTGCTGCCTTTTTAAAATGGCATGTGAGAAATTCTCAGACACTACAGGCACCCTTCGTCATTGTGTGGAGTATAGTTGTAATTAGTTATTGATTCACATAGCATTGTTCTACATTTGCTGCTACAAAACAAAACTATCGATTTGAATCCACTCAGGTTTTTCCTCATGGAGGTTATAAAAACCTATGGCCACATGCCGAAGGAAATGCATATATCCAGATTTTTTTATCTTATGAGATACTGCATGCCCTTCACAGCTTCCTTCACTGATAGTCAAAAGCTTTGGAATATTTATCCTTCCTCTGCAGAAAGCAGACAGGAGGCATCTGGTTCTTATTAGGAAGGGGTGAATAATTGCTAAGAAGTTATGAATGGTCATTGTCACTATCTCCTGACTTAAATGAAGTTTTGTTTTTGTTTTAGTATAGTATTTTGAAAGGCTCTCTCATTCTCAGTGCCCAGCTTCCAACTTCTAATCTTCTGACCAACACTTGTAATTAAAGTAATGTGTATAGCAGGGATGGGAAAGTCCATGCCCAGGGGCCAAGTGTGGCCCTCTAAGACCTTCAAGATTTTTCCTAGGCCATACGTCCTCCCCAGGCCTCATCCCTTATCAGTCCTGCCCTGAGTACTTTTGTCTGGCTGAAATGTGATAATGCCTCTTACTTCTTTGGATGGGATGAGTGTGTCTCTCTGTGTGTAAGTTCTTCAGCACTTCAGGGTCCGGGGCAGTCCTGTTAAGGTGAGCATGTACCACTGTCTCTTTAAGAGGCAGTAGCACCTCTACCTCGTGAAAGAAGGTACTGACCACTTCCTGGACCCTCCCAGTCTATCTACCTTGATCAGCTTTAATAAGCCATGATAGGGAAGGGTCAACAAAGCAGGTGGTCCACATCCTCGGGCCATAGCAATTGGACCAGATGGTGCTGTAGACACTTCCTCAGGGTTTCCTATAATGGAGGTATTTTCTTTTGTATGAATCTGAACACTTATTATCTTCAAAGTGCTTCTTAAAAATGTCACTGTTGATTTAAAGCAGAGTCTTGGTGCCCAGCGGAAGGATGAGGAAAATGTGTTACATACTCTATATTGCTTTATTTACAGTTCAAAGCTGGTATATTACAGAAAGACATCTTGCCTCTGCAGGAGCAGAAAAGCATCCTCTCTCCTCTCTCAGCTCGGAGAGAATCACACAGACAGTGAAAAAACAGGAAACCAGTGTACGTCACATCCAGTCTCCCTTTCCCGTGAGAAACTCCAACAGTACAGACTGTGGAATGTAAAACAATGTCTTGTGACTGCAGTTGCTGCTCAGTGAGGGAAATAGAAACCAACATCCTCCCCTTTCTGTGAACATCACTGGGCAGCGTGTTCGCACAATATCAGTACAAACCCAACTTCTGCACATAGGTACAGTGTTGATCCCTTGATACAATCTTGGACAATACATCAGCAGGAATTTCATTACCTGGCATATAGGACACCGTTACGAGTCCCTTCTGAATACATTCCCTAGCATGCTGCAACTTTAATTGCAAGTGCTTTGTGCTTTGCTTACAACCTTCAGACTTGAGCAAAGCCAAACATGCTTTGTTGTCCTGGTAAACCTGGATTGGACATTTGACAGGAATTTTCATATCTTTGCACAATTGTAACAACCATTCACAATCCTTAAGTGAATAAGACAGTGCATTCAGTTCAGCTTCACAAGTACTTAAGCTAACTGTTGTTTGCTTCTTGCATGACCAATCAAACAGACTCTGATTGTACATGTAGCAAACTCCAGACGTACTTTTCCTGTCTGTAGTGTCACTTCCAAAACTTGCATCTGCAAATATCTCAAGACCACCAGACTTCTGATTGTTAAATCTCAGTCTGTAATGCATAGTGCCTTTCAAATACCGCGCTATGCGTTTCAGAGCTTTCCAATCCTTGACACTAGGATTGTTGACTTGTCTGCTTAGCAAATTACAGCTAACAGCAATGTCTGGTCTTGAACATCTGGCAATGAAGTTTAGCTTGCCTAGCACACTCCTGTACAGTGTAGTGTCAGAAAATGCTTCTTCAGTGTCATCTACCTGATAACCTGTTGTCATCGGTGTGTCTACAGGGTTAGCATCCATCAGATTTAGTTTGTTTAACACATCAGCAATTTTCCGTGACTGGTGTACTAGAATGTTACCATCTTGATCTCTCTCTATTTCCAGAGATAGGTAGTTGTTTACCTCACCAAGATCTTTCATGTCAAAGTGCTCTTTCAGTTGAGCTAGGGCGCTATTGTACATTGCAACATCTTTCCAAAAAAATAATAAATCATCAACATAAAACAAACAGTACAGTTTCTTTTGCCCCTCCTCTTTGACAAATGCACATGGATCAGCTTTCCCTTGCTGAAAACCTAGAGAAAACAATACTTCAGTGAGTTTTGTGTGCCAACA